ATAGCTCCAAGGTTATGAATATTTTAGTCCACATAAAAAACAATATACAGAAACAATGCAATGCCGCAGACACAACGAATCCCTATTTTAGCACCATTTCCCTTAGGCTAGAACATTCGAGATCGAACAATATCTATAAAAAAGAAACCCATTGTACCACAAGCTACACAAATTGTATCATCATCATTCACATGAATATGTAACACGTGTGCATCGATAACACATGTTTTGAGCTTGATCCACACATCAAACCTCATGTATAAGGACTCGATCCACATATGTCTCATATAACATGCATACACTCCGCCCAAGTTTAAAGGGAAGAGAGCCAAAACTATAAAAAAATACATTTATCTCATCGATCAAAACGGCCAACCAATATTTTCTCCCTTCCTTTGATCACCATCGCAAAAATGAATGCCGAACTAAACATGCCAATATCATTTTCGGAAAAAAAATCATCAACATAAGAATATTTACTTGCTATACAACAACATATATCACTGCCAATAAGCAAGGCGCGGCATGCCGCCGCGCGGGTATCAGCTAGTAAGGAACGAGAGGAAACGACAATGATATGGATTGGTAGGCAATTTGTGGGGAAACCGCATCTACTACATCCATGTTAGAGGCGGGTTTTTTCAACTAGAATTGCCTCCAATAGTGTGTGTGTCAGCTCATTTGAGGCGGCTAGAGATTTTTATGCTCTTAACCGCCTCCTTGGACCACCTATAGAGCTCGTCTTTGTATAGTGTTAGGGTTAGATTTTTATGAGAGAAGTTCTCTTTACAACCTGGAACTATTCGCTTTGTCTAGTAATCAATCCTAAACACTAAGAACGGTTAGGAATCAACCCCAAACTCTCAAAACATGTTTAGCAAAATGTCTGAAACTTTCCCATAAACCAACTTAGTCTCTTTTTTTATATAATTATATTGAAATTTTCTAGTATCATTAGACAATAACTCACAAAAAAGGCAATAGCTGACATGGTTGTGGACTAGGGTAATTGAGTAGATTGTCAATGGGTCAAATTTGGCCTACTTAGCGAAAACTAGGTTCATGGGAGGGAATGTTTTAATCCTAGTCGATTTTTATAGTTCGGTTTGAGTCTATTTTTTATTGAGGATTATTTTTTTCCATTTAGGTTAGGGTTAGATTTGTGGTTTAGGGTTGGAGTTTGCCATTTAGGATTATGGTCCATTGTTAATAAAAACGACATCCAACATAAAGTAGTAAATGGCATACAACCGAAAGTGCTAAATGGATTTTTTTTGGGGGGGGGGAGGGGGGGGGGTGAGAGACCTCTTTCTCTTATAGCCGAAATGCCTCATAAATTATATTACAGTCATGTACAAATACTGTGCCAAAGATACTTAGGCAAATGTGGCATTTGTTGCTTGGCCTAAACATTGAATTTTAGTAAGGATTCACAAAATAAATCCGAGAGCCCGACCCAAAGCTCTAAATCCCGACCCAAAGCCCAATCCAAAAGCCTGGAAATCGAAGTCTGAGCCAGACCATGTATTACAAAAAGATAAAAAAATATCATTTGTATAGAAATGTTAATCAAGCATTTGAAAACATGTTAAATGTGTATAAAAATGTTCATTGTGTATTAAAAAATGATCGTGTATATAAAAAAGTTAATCAAGCATTTGAAAACATGTGGAACAAGTATTTGAAATATGTCAATCAAGCATTTGAAAAAATGTTGAACAAGTATTTGAAATTTTTTAATCAAGCATTTGAAAAATGTTAATTGTGTTTACAAAAAATATTGACCATGTGTTAAAGAAGTTAATATTGTATTTAGAAAATATTAATCAAGCATTTCCAAAATGTTTAATGCGCATAGAAAAAATATTGACCATGTATTAGAAAATGTTAATCTTGTATTTGGAAAATGTTAGTCAAGCATTTGGAAAAGTCTAAAAGATTGTATAGGCAAAAGGTTGACCAAGTATTCAAAAAATGTTAATCTTGTATTTGAAAAATGTTAACCAAGCATTTGAAAAAGTCTAAAATAATGTATAGGCAAAACGTTGACCCAGTATTCAGAAAATGTTAATCTTTGTATTTGAAAAATGTTAACCAAGCATTTGACAAGTGTAAAAATGTGTGTTAGAAAAAATATTGAACATGTGTTAGAAAATATTAATCTTGTATTTGAAAAATGTTAATAAAGCATTTGAAAAAGTTAAAAAATGTTGACCAAGTATTCAAAAAATGTTATTCAAACATTGGAATATGTTAAAAATATGTATTAGAGAAAATGTTGACCATGTATTACAAATGTTTATTTTTTATTTATTGTAAGAATGTAAAGCATGTATTAGAAAATGTTGTTGACATATACAAAAAATGTAGAATGAAATAAAAAAACAAAAGAAAATGCTTATTAGAAAAATATTGACCATGTGTTAGAAAATATTAATCTTGTATTTGAAAAATGTTAATAAAGCATTTGAAAAAATTAAAAATGTTCACCAAGTATTCAAAAAATGTTAATCATGTATTCAATTCAAACATTGAAATATGTTAAAAAATATGTATTAGAGAAAATGTTGACCTTGTATTAAAAATGTTTAATTTTTATTTATTGTAAAAATGTAAAACATGTATTAGAAAATGTTGTTGACATATACAAAAAATGTAGAATGAAAACCAAAAGAAAGAAAAAAACCAAAAGGAAACAAAATAAACCAAATAAAAGGAAAAATGTACAAAGAAACAATTTAAAATGAAACACAAAGAAAACCGAAAAACTGAAGAAAGAACTAAATAAAAATAGAAGAAATGAGAGAAAAGAAAAAATAATGAAAACCAAGAAAAAATAAAGAAAAACAGCAAACAGGGGAAATGAAATAACACGATGAAAAACTAAAGAAAATAGAAAAAAGAAGAAAAATAATAGCGAAGAAGCAAAGAAAAAACAAAAAAAAAGAAAAAGAGACGAAAAGCCCCGGAACAAGCCAACCCACCGAGCGTGGTGAACGAACCAGCAAAGAAAACAAAAAACAGATAGAGCAGGGTCGTCCCAGTTGACAACGTAGGGCAAAAAGCGAGCACTCGCTTAATGCGAGATAAAGCACTCGCGGTTTATTTTAAACTAGTGGTTGGGGGCCGTCATTACGGGCCTCTTGGGAGAAAGTTGTGCGTGTATTTCTCTCTCTTAATGCAAAAAAAATTCAAAAACCTCACCTTCATCTTAAAATTTTAAAAACTTTCTCGTAAAACATGGATATCACATCCATCTTAAAAAAAACTTAAAAAATCTCAAAAAGAAAAAGAAAAAGTCTCACTTCCACTTCCAAAAATAATCTTCAAAAAAAGTTTTGAAAAGAAAATGTCTCATTTTCATCCTTGAAATAAAATCTGCAAAAAAAACTCGCCACAGCCAACCAACATGCGCCAGGTGGCCATGCTGGTTGGTCGTGGCGAACGAACCAGCAAAGAAAACAAAAACAGATAGAGCTGGGTCGTCCCAGTCGACAACGTAGGGCAAAAAGCGAGCACTCGCTTAATGCGAGATAAAGCGCTCGCGGTTTATTTTAAACTAGTGGTTGGGGGCCGTCATTACGGGCCTCTTGGGAGAAAGTTGTGCGTGTATTTCTTTCTTAATGTAAATTTTTTTTTTGAAAAACCCCACCTTCATCTTAAAATTTTAAAAACTTTCTCGTAAAACATGGACATCACATCCATCTTAAAAAAACTTAAAAAATCTCAAAAAGAAAAAGAAAAAGTGTCATTTCCACTTTCCAAAAAAATCTTCAAAAAAAGTTCTCAAAAGAAAGGGTCTCATTTTCATCCTCTAAATAAAATCTGTAAAAAAAAACTCGCCACGGCCAACCAGCATGCGCCAGGTGGCCATGTTGGTTGGTCATGGCGAACGAACCAGCAAAGAAACCAAAACTGATAGAGCAGGGCCGTCCCAGTCGACAACGTAGGGCAAAAAGCGAGCACTCGCTTAATACGAGATAAAGCACTCGTGGTTTATTTTAAACTAGTGATTGAGGGCCGTCATTACAGGCCTTTTGGGAGAAAGTTGTGCGTGTATTTCTCTCTTTTAATACAAAAAGGAAATTGAAAAACCTCACCTTCATTTTAAAATTTTAAAAACTTTCTCATAAAACATGAACATCACATCCATCTTTAAAAAATCTCAAAAAAAAGTGAAAAGTCTCACTTCCACTTTCAAAAATAATCTTCAAAAAAAGTTCTGAAAAGAAAAGGTCTCATTTCATCCTTTAAATAAAATCTGCAAAAAAAAAAAACTCGCCACGGCCAACCAGCATGCGCCAGGTGGCCATGCTGGCTGGTCACCCTTCTCTCACATGTTAATGTGTTTAATGGTGCCATCTAGCCTTCCACCTACGGTGCCTAAATAGTTCTAAAAAAAGCCTACAATGCCTAAACTTTATTCGGAGTAAACCACAGTTCATGAATAAAATTGTTTTTTTACCCCTAAAAGCAAGTACAATAAGGTGACATAAGCAGGCTGTAGCACGAACTTCAACATACTCTGTGGGACAAAAGGTGGGGCCACATATTAATGATATAGTAGTATACTAGTATGACTAACTATTATACTAGCAGACTACTAGGTTGACTCTAGATGATGTGTCAACTTTATATAGCCGCATGTTGACTATACTATTAACCATATTAAAAAAACATACAGTGTTTAAATAATTCTAAAAAAAACCTACAGTGCCTAAAAACTTTTACTACTACTCAGAATAAACCACAGTTCATGAATAAAGTTGGTTTTTACCCCTGAAACAAAACCTAGAGTGCCTAAAATGAAGCACCGGCCCGTCTGTCCTGCGAGCCGCCATTACAGTCCTTTTCTCGGTTCAAGCAATGGAAAGCTAATCTACGGCTCAAAACCTTGACGAGCCCCCTCGCACCTCCGCCTCACACTTGAGTTCAGCATCTCTCTCTCTCTCTCTCTCTCTCTCTCTCTCTCCCCAGCACGAGGTGAGCTGAGCTGAGCCATGGCGGAGCTGCCGCTGGCGGGGGGCTTGCTGGACCTGCGCCCCGGTGGCAAGCTCTCCCCGAAGCCCCCGCCCCCGCCGCTGCCCATGCCCTGCCGCCGGAGCCCGCCGCGCTCCCAGGTCGCCGCGGCCGTGGCATCGCCGTGCCGCGCCGTCCCCGAGCTCCACTCCACCACCGGTAAGCAGTAACGGCGCCCCCTCACTCCTCGTCCCCTTTCCCCGCCTGATTCGATTCGCTCCGGCGTAACTCCTTTGCCGTGGCCGCAGAGCTGGCGGACGGGAGCGTCGTGTTCCACTTCGCGCACCCGCCTGTGAAAGACCACCCGGAGCCCAAGGCGTCCGGCCCCGACCCTGGGCACGCGGATGCCTCGGCCTCGCCGCGCCCGGAGCTGCGCGTCGAGGAGCCGAATCCACACACGGCAGCTGACGCCGGTGAGATTTCGCTGGCCTCGTCGGAGGCGCCCGAACAGGCCGTCAGCTCCGGTGTCGGTGTTGAAGCGGAGGCCGGGTTGGCTAGTGGAAGGGCAGTTCTCCCGGCCGACTGCCAGCTCGATACTGACGGCAGTGGAGGTGAGCTTGGTGCCTCGGAGGAGAGTGAGGCTGTGGAGGCGGACACGACGGCGCCTGCTGGTTTGGAGGAGGTGGATGCGGATGCGGGAGCTTCGTCGGAAGGCTCTGTCACTCAGGATTCCCACACTGGCGTGGATGCAGAGTGTAGCAGCGACGACCAAGAGGCCACGGAATCCGGAATTACCATCCCACCAGCAGCGGTATGTGTTCCTCCGTGTGCTCAATTAGGCAATTTCTCTCTGATTTCTTGACTTGCTGTGTACAGATAGTGTTCTCGACATTTCTCAGTCTTGCTTTGTCCGAAGTGGATGCACCATTCTTGTAGCTTGAGTACTTTGTGATGTGTCTGCGAGTTTCACTAGCAGTAAAAAGGACAGTAAATTTGTTACAGGACATTGTTAATTAGCTCATCTAGGTTTGTAGTTCACATTCACGGTCGTTGTTCCAGACCTGCTATGGTTGTTGAGCTTGTGAACACACCCCGAACAGAACAGAGGCGTTCGACATTTGTTGAATATACTCCTGGTTTTCTGTTTCGAGTGATCACGGACCATAAGCTTTTATCTTTTCTCTAACAAACCATACCCTTTAATGTTTATTTTTGTGGGAATCAGTTGTTGGGCCATCGCTTTCCCCATCTGTTGATGTTCTGGATCATGCTTGATTTCGTGTGTTGCTGTCATGATATTTTTGTTTCGCTCTCTCCTCGTCTAATTGACCATATATTTTTAGGGACCACATCTTATACTACTGCCTCAGGGCTCAGGGTCCGGTATTTAAGGCCCATCGCATTATTGGTCAAACTTTGACCATTATAATCTAACAAACAAAATATGGGTTATACATAACAAAAAGTATACCATTGGAAACTTATTTCAAATACGAATCCAATATTATACTGTTTTGTAGCCAGTTATGCTTTGCTAGTTATTAACTCATAGCCAAAGTTTGATCCAGAATACGAGGGGGGCTTATGTACCCAAAAAGAGGGGATAATAAAGACTGTCTTTCTATGAATCAACATATGAGATAGGTATACCAGATGAAGTGACGCACGCATACTCCATGAAACTTTGGTCTGGAAATTCAAGTGCAAAATGGACATGTCCTTGACCATGTCTGCTTAGGGACCACATCTTATACTATGTGAGAGATTAACACATGAAATGCATGCATACCAGTACCAGTTGAATGAAAATAATCTGGAAACTTAAGTGTAAAGTGGAAATAATCTTTTGAGCAAGACATGTACTTCTGGCTTGTGGGCATAGAACTTATGCTATGAATTAGATGTCTCTTTAGCGGCTAACCATTGCTCCTTTTTCCACAATAGGGAGAAGTTCACAACAAGGTGGATCGGGAAAAGAACACTTCAGAAGTGAAGAGTTCTGATAGGCATGACTTTCTTCATCTCACTTCTATTTCAAATATTTCAATTTTCAAACCATAGGTGGTCAATATCATCTTTTCCATATAATCCGTCTGTGCTGCTATTTCTTGCAAAGATGAATATGGCATACATATATATTGTCTTCATATAGTTATGCATCTCTGTAACCAAATGTTATGGCTTTTACTGTATTTAAACATTTAACACAATCTTGACGAAATGATCTGATCATTCTTTCTTGTTCAATATTCATATATAGGACGGTTCCAGTAGCCTCATCGACGCTTTTGTTGACATCGGGTGCTGCAATCTTGCCTCATCCTTCGAAGGTAATAACTGTCCTGCGCCTGCATTTTCTAAATGGCAGAAGCAATTTCACTTATTCTTTTGAGAAACACAATTTCACCTATTTATAATGTCAGTTGCTCACCCGTCTTTTCAGTACTTCATCTGATCCCAAAAGATGGTTGTTTTCTACTCTTCAGGATACCCAAATCTGGGCAGTAACTTTTATAGTAGCACATAAAAAACTGTGAAGTAATATTAGGGAAACATATTGATCTGCCTACACGATTATTTTCGCCAGTCTAGATATATATAATGAAAATTCCAGGTTTTCAGGTATCACAGCCATTTCTAAAATAAAAAAAGTCTAGATATATATAATGAAAATTCCAGGTTGAAAATGGAGATGTGTTGTGTTGTGTTATGTATCCTACTTCGATAAAATTGTGTTTGGAGAAAATAACTGGCTTAATACTTTGATCTTTGCAGTTCTCACAGAACGTACAAAAATTTCATCATAGTACATTTTATTTATCCATGGCAATATATGCAGTACACTGGCAATCCAGTGGCAGAGCCAGGAATTATGTACAGGGTGTGCACACCAAAATTTTCCTGGGTTGCCTTCTGATCGGCTGTAGTCTGCACTCTGTAGACCTGGTCCTAAACTTTTCTCAAAATTTCTGGGTGTGCCTGGGCTCACCTGGCCCACCCTCTAGAACTGCCTATGTGGCAGTCAATGCTACCAGTAACATATATTTTATTATCTCTCTCATGGGCCATCATAAGGCTAATCCAAGCTCCCGCTGACACTTTGGCTGTGATATCTGTATAATTTTCCCAGGCAGCGACAGGCGGAGAAGATGCTTATTTTATTGAACACAATGGTTGGTTTGGTGTGGCAGATGGAGTTGGTCAGTGGTCATTTGAAGGTTAGTAGGTTAATTTTCTTTGGTTTTGATTCTGTAGTTTAACCTTATGTATCATGCCTGGCCTTCTATAGACCATTCAGTTGGTGATGCTAGTCTTAAATCTTAATGTTAGATTGCTTTACAAAGGCAGTTTGTTACCCCCTTTGTCCAGAAATATCAGGCACTCTTGACCTTGTACAGTCTCCATTGCATAATTTTGACTATAATTTAGATTACAAATTGCCTAAAATTAGTAACAATGTAACTTTTGCAACAAAAATACAATAATAGTATTCTTGCATGCTCAATCCATATAATTCTGCACCTTATATTTCTGGACAAAGAGAGTATAAGATAACTGGTCATAAGTCTTAACTCACTGTTGGTGGTCGTCCATTAACTTTAGCAACATTCCTTCTCAAAGCCCTGAAAAATGGGGCCATAAAAACGTACACGTACAACAGCAAGCGATCCCTGCCAGAATCCTCATGCCTCCTGCCGGATGCCATCTCCCCTAACCCCTCACCCAATTCCTTCACTCATTTTCATGTCAACAAGCTTCTTTCTTTAGCTTTTAACTTATAATGCTTCATATCAGCAGGCAAGTTTGTGGTCTAATTTTTTTTGGACATATTACTTTAGTAAACCATGTTCCATCTCTTCTTTTTATGGTACCGTAGCACGGGCACCTTGCTTAGCCAGTAGAATGTGTATTCTTTTGAAAGACGACTACCGATATGTGGGGAAAACGTTATTCACTGATCGCTACTTCTACCTTCTGTGGATGTTCAGCAGAAGTAACTAACATATACCAATATGAGACAGGGATGCTATTTTGTAGTAAGAAACACCTTTTGCATAATTTAGTTTTAAAACATAAATCTTCTTTTTCTGGACCCTGGAAGCTTAATAAGAGTTGAAATTATCTGGAAATAATGCTGCAAGCAGGTACTTACGACAATTTAGTGAGAAATCAAGAACCGATTTAGTCTGGTCTGCATCCAACCCTATAATAAGGTACTGTACATAGATCAAGTACCACCAGTGCCGGGATGATGACAAGAACTAAGTTGTAAGGGTTAGACAATGACCATTGAGCTGCAAAATGACAATTCAATTCCTTGGAAAAGCAAAGCATGACACGTGCACCAACTATAGACTTAAGAGATGCGTCAAGCCTCGAGTGCTCTTACCTCTTATTATTTTGTATGTGTAATAATTAATTCACAAGATGTGGTTGATTACAATTCCATATGTTTATTTGTAAGAGAAAAATATTTTGTATCTTTATACCTCAGAAATATGCGGATAAATATGTAGATTGACAAGTTGAAACAGAAAAGTAGAAAACGGCAGGATCTGAGAGATGAGTATTGGTTTAAGATGTGCACTACCAAACGCATTATATCAGTTCAATTTGGCTCTGGGTACAAGAAGTAGGATCATTACTCTTTAGGGGATTAATGTCCTAATTCCTAAATGCCAGCCTTTGTTCACAGCCTCTATAGACATGCGCAGACAATTTTCTTCTTGAGACGTGGTCTTCGAGACTTCAAGTTAGGGAGCATTACTGTCAATATAGGTTTGTACTGTTGGCAACATTAAGAAGAACTGCATCATAGATCTCAAGATAAATATAAACACCATGACTTTAGCTCATGTTTTCTTTACCTGACGTCTAGCAAATGTGTATTTGGAACTTCGTGCACATGGTTATTCATAGGCATGCCACAGTGCTAATTTTTTGTTGTAATATTTGTACTTAGGAATCAACGCAGGACTTTATGCAAGAGAGCTTATGGATGGCTGTAAAAAAGTAATAGCAGAAAGTGAAGGAGGCTCTGAGCTTTCACCCGAGCAAGTTCTCTCCAAGGCTGCAGCAGAAGCAAGGTCTCCTGGTTCTTCGACTGTCTTAGTTGCTCACTTTGATGGCCAGGTCTGTTATTTTATCAAGACCATCACAGTTCTTATTTCTCCTCGTGTCATACTTATTGGACCTATCATTGTCACAGCTTCTTCATGTATCAAATATTGGAGACTCGGGGTTTCTGGTGATAAGGAATGGAGAAGTACACGCGAAATCAAAACCAATGGTTTATGGCTTCAATTTTCCACATCAAATCGAGAAAGGGGTTGATCCCTTAACCCTTGTAGAGGTAAAAAAAAATTTTGGTACCAAGTCTAGTCCCGCACCATATGAATAATTGAAAACCAACACTCTTGTTTCCACTGCGTTTTTCAGAATTATACCATTGACATAGAGGAAGGTGATGTCATTATAGCAGCCACCGATGGCCTCTTCGACAACGTCTACGAACAAGAATCGGCAGCCATGATCTCGAAATCTTTGCAGGCAGATCTAAAACCAGCGGTAGAATCATCAACTTGCTTTCTAAGTAAAAAAAAAAAACCCTGAATCTCGGTCTCAAGATTGAATCATGGCACGCCTGACTATTCTACTCGCAGGAGATGGCCGAGCACCTTGCTGCCAGGGCACATGAGGTAGGGAGGTCTGGAGCACGGAGAAGCCCATTTTCAGACTCTGCCGTCGCGGCGGGTTACCTAGGTTTCAGCGGGGGGAAACTGGACGACACAGCCGTCGTTGTGTCGATCGTCCGGAGATCCGAAGCTTAAGCTGTAGAAGGCCCCCGAGGTGACAAGCTATTATTTTGGTCGCAGGCAGCTGCACGCACTGTCTGGGAAAGTGTTGCATCAGTAGTTCAGAAATTGCGCGACAAGAAGTGCAGTGGTGTGCATGGCGAAGTTCGCCTATGTAAGTAGTCTAATCCAAGAAGCACATGGTACATCACACACCTGGTCTGGTTTGGTCTGGTCTGATGAGCAAGGCGCAATTCGCGCATGTAAGTAAGTGATCTAAATTTATGTTTGGTGTTGGTGTTCTTGTGTAAATTTTGGGCTGTAGAAATATGATGCATGATGCATTTGAACTGTAATATTCACGATCAAAACATGATCAGAAATTCATGGCGTCAAGTTGTTACTGGTACATCAACACACTGTCAATTGTAGCCCTAGGGAATTGGTCAGACACTCGCCAACTCTAGGCACTTGCCGATGGAGAAGCAGCCCTAGGGAATTGGTCGGGCTATGGAGGTGTTCGACATCGGTCGAGACCTTGTCAGGTAAAGTGAGCCCTTGTCGCTGTGGTCATAGTGGGTGTGGTGGCTAATCTCCTAAATCGGTGTAAACCGAAGGTTGTTGTATCCTTCTATTAGTGACGATACACCTCCGCGATGAATCTAGTTTTAAAAAGAAAGAAAAAACTCTCTCCATCCAAATATACAAGGTCTCTTTGAATTTCGAGGCTAATTTTTAGCCCTAATTTGACTAACAAAGTATAAATTATATGCAACAACATTTATACCATCGAATTTGTATTTGAAAGAGGTTTTCTGTGGTATAACTTCTATGGCATATACCTCATGTTTTATTAGTTAAATTTATTTTCAAAATTAGAATCAAATATCGTACTCAAAAGAAAAAAGGCAAATGGAAGTTTTTCGACAAGTATTACACTCCTTCCTCAAAATTAAACTCGTTGGCCTCCTACAGAAACATATAAAGACCAGAGTGCCCATAGCATGTTATTTGTAATCGAAACGGTGAAAATGACAGATGATACAAGGAATTCTGGCTCAACACGAGCCATATATATGTAGTATTTCAGAGGGAAAACCTGATGTTAGGTACATTGCGGTTACCACCAGAGACAATACACATCAGTAAAAAAGGGAATTGTCAGATCTTACAAATTCTGGTTGTGCGCGAAAATTGTATATAGTTATGATGATCCAGTGTAACCTGGAGCCACAAGATTGTTGACCTACGCTAATCTACCAACCAATAAACATGTTTTGGCCAACCAGAAAAATGGATATGCGTACAATTATTTTCCTAGGTTTGAAACTTGCAACTTTGAAAAATGAAATTCAAACAAAACTTTAGCCTCAGGATTAGGTTATTTTATGAGTTGTTTTTACTCTATAGTTGACAGAGCGGATATACACCAACCTGGAGCAAAGCTCCCACAATTTTCGGCAAATGGATCAACGTAGCCATGACTTCTAAGTGCTAACTGATCTCCCTCAAAAAGAAAAGGTGCTAACTGTTCTCCCTCAAAAAGAAAAGGTGCTACCGGATCTAGCCCTTTGCCTGCTCCACAGACTGCAAATTGAACAGATGGCTACAACACATTTCAAAGGATCACTACAAGCACCCCAAAACAGCATGTCAACTATTTGACTCACCATTTGTCTTGCCTCTGTCAGGTTTAGTGTCCTGCTGTGTCAGCATCTGGCGGAGCATTAGTAGCATCCTTGATGTCCTTAATCTTGACTGACGCTAGCTGACTATCACTTCCATCGCTTTTTGAAGCAGAGGCCTTATCAGGAGATGATGTCTCACCTTTCTTCAGAGATTCCTCTTTCGTATGGGCAGGACTTCTCATTTTGTCCTCTGCAATTTCCTTAACGACACCCTCTAATGTATCTAACCTGACTAAAACCGTTGCCAGCTTCGAATCGGCATCCTCCTTAACAGAGTCGGCTTCAAGTTGTTTCTGTTTCTCTACTTCCTCGATTTTTTTCCTTTTTACTTCTGCTTCCTGAGACAAGCAACATAAAACTCCATCAGTAAATGTTTACTGAATATGCCTTTCATATCGTGACAAGAATCTATCAAGTGCCAGAATAACATGTGGAATGTCTGGAGTTATGCTAATTTTAGTTTTACTTGAACACCGGATGGTTTCCACATAAAAGTATAGTTTCCTATTGAAATATATGGAATTCGGAGCAAACGTCCAACCTTCAGATTAGCAACTGTTTGTACAACTTGATATTTAAAGTATACTTTCAGAACAGAAACTATGACATTCTTTAGAAACCTGTAACTGCTTAAGGTGTATATATCCGCTGTATCACACATAATATTTCCTGTGAACAAACCAATTGATGGCGATGGTCTGTTTGCATTGAGATATTTCCAACAGCCAGATTTGCTACCAACAGTTGAGATTGAAAAGGGACTGCTCACCAATCACTTAATACTTTTTTGTGGAAATACCAAAATCTATCATGAAATTGCAGATATGTAAACATGTAGCATAACATTTTTAGCCCGTAGGGAACAAACATATTTCTAGTAAGTAACTGATAGCATTAATAGTAGAGTGCAATTTTTTTTAGTGAAAAGTAACAAGGTTGGTGTGTTCATACTTCACAATGTAGAAAGAGAACTCCAAAATAGAGTATCTACCTGCAGGATCTCCTAATAAAATGGCTCAGTAACCAATGTAACTGAAAAAAAAGTGCTACATGTGCCTCGGCACATAAATAACATATCTGGCAGAGAGTGATCACTATAACATCGATGGTTTGAAAAGTCCACAGCACATGAACTAACAATTTCAACTGCCCTAACAGGTTCCATTGTACGTGCATTTAGGTTAAAACTTTATCACAGAGCTTTAACCAAGGGCGCATTTAGAATGCTGAATGATCATGACTAAGAGTACTTGGCTTAAGAGCCAATGTCATACAAGTCAAACTCTTTCACTTAGTAGCTCCAAAGGATCAGTCATGTAGCATTGATATATGAAAACAAGTTGCAGCATAATGTTCGCTAAATAATAAAGATATCAATAGGTCATATTTATGCCCACTGTTGTACAAGATTCAAAATTTTCAGAGATCCTTTATTCCAAAGGAAACTGCGCAGTATGAGGGAATCACAGCATATTACCGCTTCCATCCTTTTGATCTCACTTCGCGCATACTGGGCTACCAAATAGACAGCTGCACACAAAAACAAAAGCCGCAATGTAAACATAGAAAACTGAAAAAGAACTTCACATTTGACACCCCAAAGATTACATATCAGAAAGGAATGGAGTTGATCATGAAACAAACCTAGTGAGGGCATGCAAACAAAGAAGAGCTGTACAAGGTGGAAGTCGAGCCTGAAATACAAAAGAATTATAGAAATCAAAAAAGACTGCCATTAGGAATATGTTTGTAACAGAAATCATCTCCAAAACCAGCATTCCAAGAAAATGTTACAGATTGAATGCTCCTCAATTTTGTAAAGGCATTCTAGATTTCACACATGTTTTTTTATTAGCACCATGGGAAGAACTGGAGATAGAAACTATGACCTCCCGTACTAATATTGATCTTAGTCTCGCCTTCTCATTCTGAGGAAATATGCAACTTCTATTTCCATGACCTCATTATTAGAACACATGGAGAACTTTCCTAGCTTCAGTTCAGGCATGATTGGTTGAACGTTAACAGAATAGGAGTCACATAGCTAAGGTTTAAATCAACTGCCAGCTCAGTATGAGAAAAGAAAATCTTCGCAGGGCTTGGATTTAGCGAAGTAGGATTCTCACAAAAGAAAATCTTCTTTGTGGTTAATTCCTGGCAGAAGGGTATGATTTATATGCAAACAAAGTAGAACAAAATGCATCATGATTTTCCATGATCCGTGCTCCACAAACAAGGTTCCATGGTGACAACCTTGCAACGAGACAAGTTACTATGGTTATTGCCTAATGCTCACCCGAACTCCTTGCGCTTGGGGGGCACCGTGAAGAGGATGTTGGCGGCCGTCTTCCAATCAGCGCCGCTGGACCAGTCGAACTCCTGCACTTTCTTGTACGCCTCCATCCGCGCCGCATGCGCCTCCCGCGCCTTCGCCGCGGCGTCCGTGGGGGCGACGGGGGGAGCTCCCTCGCCGGAAGCGGACGAGGACGAGGAGAGGCGGCGGCAGAGGTGGGCGAGGGGGAGGCGGAGGCGAGGTCTCAGCGCCGGAAGCATCGCGTGGTGGGTGCAGGGCGCGTCGGGGACGGCGGCGGCCTTCAGGGGCTTTGGGGCATGGCCGCCGGCCGTGGTGCTCGCGTGCCACAGCCAGCCGCCGCCAGCTTCGGGGGGGATCGGGACGTGTGGGCTTGTGGCCTGTGGGGTGGTGGACTTGATATTGGACGAGTATCGGTGGTGGGCTGGGCCGGTGAAGTGCAGAACATGGGAAGGCGAAAGTGCTGTTCTCATCCCAACCTGAGCTTGGGCGAACAGTAAAATTAAAAAGAATCATCTAAAAAAGTAAAATTAAAAAGAATTGAAAAGAAATTTCAAGGTTATGAAATTTATTCTGTGCTAAAAATTGATTATTTTTTTACTTGTGTGAAAAGTTTCATCAGCAGATGACATTCGTGAAAGACGTGACAAAAAATCCCGATGCTTTCGAAAATAACATTTTGGAGGCCACGTTTTCCACGAATGTCATCCGGTGATGAATTTTGTAACCAATAATATATTTTTTCAATGTGAGGCACAATTTTTTTCTAGATTTTTAAAATTTCTGAATTTTTATTTTATTTTTTGTTCATCCAAACTCACCTCGGGATCAGAACAACCGCGTCCGTAGGAAGGCCTCCTCTTTGCCTAAAACAGAAGGCCTCCTCTAATCGGTAATTTTGGTTTTATATTGAAAAGGCGACCTCTATATATATGGCTCTGAATTCTTTTCTTTTTGATTAAAAAATAATAAGAATCCATAGCCATATACATGGCCCTGGATTCTACTACCTCTCTAACTTAATGTAAGACTTCTTCTTATCGAAGGAGTATAATTTATACTAATAAAAACCTTGAAAGACATAAGATTATATTTGATTAGTGGTATGGTTTTTGGTTTTAAAGATTTATAGAGACCATGGCGACACGTCTTTAATCCAACTCAACCCGTCGATGCACCACATTTAAGTTTCTATCTAATTTGTACCGTCATCATTTTTTTGCAAATGGTCTATTATACTTTCTCAAACTTAACATGTAGTCCACTATATCCATGTTAACGAAACTAAAACTTAACCGAGGTGGACCGTGAGTTGACTTTAGGCTTTGTTTGTTTGGACTTCTGCTACTGCTTTTTGCAACTTTTCTGCATTGGCAAAAAGCGGCAAAAGCTCCTAAATAGGGGTTTTTTGCTTATGAATCAATATTGTTATATGATGATATAAGCCAAAAGCTGAAGCAAAAAACACTTATTTAGGTGCTTTTTTGGCATTTTTGCCAAAGTGAAAAGGCCGCAAAAGCAGAAGCAAAAGCCCAAACAAACAGGGCCTAAATATGTGGTCAATATTGCAAATATGAAAATATTATGGAAATAGGCCACATATTTAGATCTCGGTGTAGTAGGCTTCGTCAATTTAGGTATGTCGGGTCTCGAATTCACATTTGCATTTATGCTTCTGCATTTTTGTGACTGAAATTTGCGTATATGCTTAGTTTGTATGTATCAAGCAATAACCCTTCGTGGGTTGAAGTCTCAATCAACGTGGATGTACGATAGCGTCACCTATTAGAACAACGCCAAAAATCTCCGTGTCTTCATTGTGTTTGATATCTCTGATCCCCTCCTTTACGTTCATATGCAAAGTCTTTAATTTTCGCTGCATACTCTTTAAGCTTGCGTGTGTAGGGTGCTACTTCACTTGTGATAATTGCTAAAAAAATCCTACAACTATAATTGGGAAAATATTAAATTTTTATCCCCTCTAGCCTACTTATGATCCTACAGTGACTCTCTCCCAATTTCCTAGACAAGAAAATTGGATGGTGTAGAGATTTTCCTCCAATGGCTGAACTTTGCCTCTGAGCAAGGTCCCAAGGTGATCTCAAATTCCAATAGAACCAAAATTGACTATAGGGTTTGCTGGAGTGTACCCTTGCAAGAGCAATCCATCGTGCTGCCGGCCGCGGCGCTTCCTTCTCGTCAAACACCACATCATCCATGTCCTCTTCTGGCAGCCCTAGTTCCTTCATAAGCTGCTCAACATCATCGGTCTCTGTTGGTCCTAAGGCCGCAAAACCGGAAGCCGCGCTCGAAGGCATCTCGAACCCTAATCCGATTGAAACAACGATCAGGCCTTCTTGAGGAACTCTAAGCCTTCCGCTCTCCACAGCCTAGCCGAGACCAGGAGGCATCATAGAGAACGCCCCCGGATCAAGCGCGAGGATGACGGGATGAAGCCGAGGAAGGGAAGAGCAGATCTCGACGGCGGTGAAAGATCGCCCCGGGAGGACCAAAACCCTAGTGAGAGGGGAAAAACTATCAACACTAGTACACGTAATCTGATCTGGCCAACCCGTTGAAAACGAGTCCAGTCCCGCTGAGACCAACTGACCAAACCAGCTGAAAAGGTTTTGTATTAATGACTGGGGTTTTAACAGAATTCTGGGTTCTTAGAGACTAAGTGCTAGAATTCTGAAAGGTGTGTATTATTCGGATGGAGAGTTTTCGACAGCCGACCTAGGTGGGCACCCCTCTCAGATATGGAGGGGAATATTAGAGGGTCATGAAATTTTGAAGCTCGGACTGATCCGGAGGATAGGTAATGGAAACGCAATGAGTATTTGGGACATGAACTGGCTACCCCGGAAGGAAAACATGAGGCCCATTGTTGCATTAACTGTTGATCCTCACCTTGTGTCAGAGTTTATTGACCATGAGAATGCATGTTGGAACACTACACTGATTGAGCAGGTATTCTTGCCATATGATGCAGCAGCCATCTTGAGGATCCCGGTTTGTACCAGGAATATGGAGGACTTTTGGTCATGTGGATTTTGAAAGAATGGAATTTATTCTATCCGGTCTGCTTACAGAATGATCGTCGCCAGTGGCGGAGACAAGGGGGGGCGAGCAGGGGCCTGGCCCCCCCCTATCGATCGACGAGACAGGAAGCATGGTTTGTTGATTAGCGATCTGAGTACATGTAAACAAGTACTCGGCCCCCCCTATCTTAACGTGAATTCTGAAAGAAGGAAATAGCCCACGTAAAAGCCCATTAGTGAGTCGTTTTCAAGTCTAGATTGGACTCGCTAAGGGCTGGGCATTCTCTCCGTAATTAGCGTGTGTGTGGATTAGCGCTAAGCGGCCGCCGTTCTGTACTCTGGTGCCCTTGGGGCCTTGCGGCCTGCTGGCCTCTGCTCTCCCCATCGATCGATTCACACGCCGACGCATGCTGATTCACTGGTCAATTCTTCACGTTCAGCTAACGAACTAGCCGAGGTTAATACATCAAACTTTTTTCGCGGCGTAGTTAATACATCAAACTATCTGCCAATCTCTGTTACTAGTATTTCTCATCTTACATCGTTATACATCATATTTTAATTATTTTTGTTCATCACAACCCTAGGGCCTAGGGCACCCACAATTGTCAGAAGTCACGCGCATGCTAACGGCGACCAGCCGATCTACTTCGAGTATTTGACCTACTATATAGCAGAGGGAACGAGCAAGGGCTGGATTTGATTATCTAGGTATTTTCCCTAATACAAAAACACAAAATATGACAATACAACCAATGATGATTTTTAATTCAAACCTATATAAATGCATGCTAAAAGCCAATCGTTTTGATATATAATGATCGTTCTTGTTTGTATATTTTCAATTTCCATATGAATTTTTTTAGTAGCATGGTATTTCATGTCATATTTTGCAGTAGTTTGATTATCAAGTTCATTATTGACCTTTTAGCTATAACTAGACAATGCCTCCGGCTGATAAATAAGTGTGTGTCTAGGCAAAGTGAAATATGAATGATATTTGGATAAAAAACTATTGGCTACTTTTGTGATGCAATATTTTTTGGCTTCACCGACATCGTTTGGCCCCCCCTATGTTCAAATCCTGGCTCCGCCATTCGTCGCAACAAAAAGTAGGCGTGAGGACTGGCCGGAGGAAAGAGCGGGGCCCTCAAATAATGCAGATAATGAGCGTTGTTGGGAAACTTTATGGAAAGTGCATGTGCCGGCGAAGCTAAACAAATTTCTTTGGCGGTTGGCTAGAACTCCTTACCAACTGAAGATGTGAGAAAGAAGAGAAAGATGTCACACCATGAAGAATGCTTTGTGTGTGGAGCTCAGGATTGTTGGAGACATAGCCTTCTCGAGTGCAACATGGCTCGTTGTGTTTGGTCTCTTGTAGACCATGACCTACTTGATCACATGATTGCTACATAAGAACCATCAACACGAGCTTGGCTGTTTTCCATGATGGAAAGTCTGAACCATGGGGAGGTGACAAGGTTGACAGTTACTTTGTGGGCAATATGGTACGCGAGGAGGCAATTGATCCATGAAGGAATACACCAAAGTCCCTATGTCACGCACATGTTTGTTCTCAATTTCATAGCTGAGCTAGACCAATTGAATCCGGCGTCACAACCACAATTGAGGACAGCCCCACAACAACCTCGTCAAGATTTCATGTGGATGCCACTAGTGGAAGGATTAGTGAAAATCAATGTAGATGCCGGAGTATCTTCAGACCGGAACGTGGGTACGATAGCTGCTGTGTGTCGAGCTCGTGATGGAACTTTGCTGGGCTCATCTTTGCTAGTCATTCATGGGATGATAGACCCTACGACGCTTGAGGCGATTGCATGCAGGGAGGGGATGTCCCTAGCGCAGGATCTTGGAATGGATCGCCTTCAAATCTCTTCAGATTGTAAGCAGGTGGTGCATCATATTCATCAAAGAGCCGGAGAAGACTACGGTACTATTATTAGAGAGATCTTACAGACATCTATGTTATTTTCGTTGTGTAATTTTTCTTTTGAACCCCGAGAGTCGAACTATGAGGCTCATAGGCTTGCTAGGTTTGGTGTTTTTCTCCCTGTAGGGAGGCATCTGTGATTGGGTTCTTCGCATGATCCAATTGTAATTCCTATGAATATTTTAGCTAATAAATAAAGGCCTAGCAAGATTTTCTCCAAAAAAGATGCATGGGTTAATTTGGGGAATTA